TATATATATATATATATATATATATATATATATATATTTATAGAAAATTTCGCACGCTCGTGTACATATGAATAGCGCGAAAGATGGGCCGCAGTAGACTCTCGTTGCTCACCGACGTAATTTCATTCGCACTCGCATTCACACGTCCTCTCGTTTCCCACTCATCACGCAGTCTCGCGCTAGAATAACTTCTGCACACTCGCGTTGGCACATGTCCGCTTCATTCGTTTTGTTATTTGTCATTATAATCGAAAAGTATACCTATACGTAGGCCGTGTGTACGACGTATGAGGTAACGCAAAGGCATGAAACTGCAATTTAGCATTCTTTCGTAAAGAGTTAATGATGTCTCGTTGACACTCATTCGCCCTTTCTCTCGATCGCGTACATAGCCGAGATAGTGACAGTGCGATGCAATCGCTACATTCGCTACACGAAATAATGAACCTACACTGTTGTTGTTATGCTACCGATTTCGGAATCGCGAAAACTATTACAGTCTGTTTTTGGTACAGTTTTCTCGCGATGCGATCCTCCCCCTCCCCCCATTTCTCCACTCGTTTCCCTTGTCGAATGCGTATTGCTATATAGATTGTTAGACAAAACTTTATAATATATATATATATATATATATATATATATATATATGTATACTTAAGAAAAGAGGCCAGGAACAGACATATTCGAACGACATTTAGGCCGATATGTTTGCCGTTCAATGTTTTATTACATCGCAGATACATACGTATTAAAATGAATTGTCGTTTTTAGTAGAAAATGTTACAAAACCTAGTAAGCGCGATAATAAAATAGTCAAAAAAAAAAAAAGAAAGAAAAGAATTCAACTGTAATTGCAATAAAAGTTTCCAAAGAAAAATATACAGTGTATATGATCCAGCAGTTGTTACACAGGTACTTCAAATTAAAAAAGACCGCTCGTTAGCGACGAAAGGTCTAGTATAAGTTTCGTGGCAGTGATTGCGGGGATTGCTCGTTTTTTCCCGTGTCAGTCTAATCTTTACGTAGATCGGTCACGGAAACGGCCTAGGAAACGAAAGACAATATTGGCGCTCGTTATTCGTGTAGGAGAGTCTTTCGGTACGTTATATTGATCCCGTTAAGAATCTGCCAGGACAATTTTTCGGAACATCCCGATCAGAACGAGCTTCGCGAATAATATTATCCGTTCTATAAGCCTCGTGTCATGGCGATTTTTTTGACACTTATAGGTCGTGATAGTTTCGTAGCAGATGTATCCATCTACGGGTTTGGTAAATCGTTGCAATGTTATAGATGCGAGCTGACGAATACATCCTCGTACTCCTTCCTCCCGAGGGAGGTTGTAAATGCAAAGAGTGGATTTTCTTCCCAATCTCGCTGACGTGGAATGTCTATGGCAGTGCCTTGAATCTCTCGGAGTGAGCCGGCATTCGCGTATCATGAAAGCATCGCTCGAGTCAGCCACCGTTTAGTTCGTCGGAACTAATTGGCGCGCGAAAAGATATTCTCTCGAGGACATCGTCGCTCTGACTAGGTAATCACGAGTCCTGGATGATACACGGGTGGGGTCGATGTCAGCCTTCTCCGGGACGACTGACCCCCTATTGGAGCGCGTCGAATAAGCGGGGATTCGTGAGATCCATGGGATAGCGAAGTTCCGTGCCGATCAGCCGATTTCTACGTACTCGTTTGCGGGATTATGAGGTCGCGATTACACGAGGAAACCCTGCGAGGTGGCGGACATCTGCGCTCGTAACGCCGTTACGCTGTTCATAATCTTCTTCTGGTGTCCCACGAGCGTTATACCGAGGGCTGTGAGCTCCTGAACGGTGACACGCGCCGCTGCCTCCAGCGTCGTCACACCCGCCCGTTCAAAGCTCTCTGCGTATCGTGACATCTTGATGGAGGCCAGCCACTCGCTGACGGAATTCAATTGCGTTAGGTCCACCGCGTCCGGCGCCAGTGGATTCGTGCCCCTGTTAAAAAAAAACGACAAATTAAGAGATGTCTTAACTTTATAACGAATGTATAATGTAACGTTCATAGCAGGAAAAAGTTATGGAAATTTAGGGTACACGAGATTTCAGGCTTCCTTAGACCGCATTTTCTCGCTATCCAAATACATTCACATTCGTATAAATCCAAATATATATCTTGGATGCCTCGCTCGTTTGCTATCGACTTGCTAGGCCACAAGTTAAGGATAGATAAACTAGAGTGAAATAACGAAGAGTGCTATTGTACAAACTGTAAATCACTCGACATTTCGTTGTCATCGTTGTTTGAAATTACCGATGTCTTCGTTATTTCATGAGGGATATCGGATTACAAAGTATCATATGTGGGAATATTATATCATATATCTCTAATATTTATTTTTACCAATGTAGATTAAGTTTTAATCTCGATTTAACTTACTTTTTATCATTTTTAATTCCATGAATTAATTAGAATTAATTTTAAGAATTGAAAATATATAACAAGTAAATTAAATGGAGATTAAAATTAATCTACTTTCTTGATAGAAATGGACATAAATCAGTTAAAATTACAGTCACGTTTCACTTCTATATAGATTATTCTGTAAGCATATATCATGAGTTGTAAAACGCGACCGTTATTTTTGGGATTTATGTAGGATTATGAAGGAAGGAAATATATACAAATATTTAGATATGTATGTACAAATTGCAAGGAGGGATTTTAAGTATACGGAATTATCATGTCGATTATCGGAAGGGAAAGAATAAATCATTTGCAAGTCTAAATTCTAAAATATCTGCAAGAGATTCTACAATCGAGAACGAGCAGACAGCGCATTGGTCTAGTGCGCTAAAGATTCCGGATTCGAGTATCTCCGATAGGACCAAAGTATTTTCAAACGCTCGTGTCTCTTCTCGACGGTATGACAAATCACGAGAGTATATTCTTGCCCATAGAATCTCCTCTCAAAAAGTTGCCGTTCGGAAACCGATATTAAAAAAATAAAACGGCACCATTATATAACGGTAAGTTTAATGACCGATTATATTCTTTTGCAAGTTCTTCTTATTCTTATTTTGTCGTATAGGCCTTTAAAGGCCTGTTTTTTTACCTTACTCTCATATGCCTGTGATGCACAAGGGACTACTTTTTAACGCCGGTTATAAATATTTTGATCTTACTCGAATCCAGGATCTCAAGCGTATTAGATGCGCTGTCTACTATGCCACGCTCGCTCTCCATTCGCAATTCTAAGTTCTAAAATAATCTGGAAGAGAGATTCCACAATTATTATTCATGATATAATATTTATTTGACAAATCTTTCTTGTTCTGAGAATATAAAATGGGCCTTAACTTAGGTGAACAAAAATCGTTATTTAAATATATACAATCGGTTCCTAAATCGTTTTCTTGAAATTTACGCATAAAGTTGCTCGGTTTCGTATAAATTAAAAATTATAAATTCTATATTTAAAAAAAAAAAAAATAAGCATAGCTAATGTCATGTGTATAATGTTAATTCGTACGTTTGTATTTTTCTTTATACAACGTTATGTACAGGCGCTACGAAACTTAAATACCGACGCGAATTACTCCAATTATTTTTGCTCCGAATAATACAGCTACAAATAAAAATAAGTACTAACTAATAATAATTATAATAATATAAATAATATTATAGTAATATATGAATACTAGTGATGATCCGAATAACAAATATCGCAAATAGAAATAATACAAACGCTAGTGATGACATAACATAATGACGATATGATGACAATAACGAGAACGCTAATGGCTAATAACAGTACACTCTGTTGACAAAAGTGTACTGGATATGTAGCATATGTAGCATATGTTAGTGGCGTATGGTTTACAGACAGAGAGAGTTTTAGGTGTATATACAGGGAATGGGATTACGGCGCGTACGAAGGCAAGCGGTGCAACACAAACTAAGAGGTTTACCAAGCAAGAATACTGCTGTCTACGTGACGGCGAATATTTCATTATCGCGTCAAAGAAGCAGAGAGAACGTGAAAGCACAGTCAGCGTAATCGAATCGTCGTAAATGTTAAAGGGCGAACTTCCGCGTTATCTGTAGCACTGGACGAAATAGAAATGATTGCGCTTTGTTCTTCTGCACTTCTTTCTTTCTCTTTTCTCTTTCGCTCTTATCCACAAAGGGGATTCGGAACGGTCCGTTTTTTTTTTTTTTTCCCGTACTCTCTTTCCTTTTTTTCTTTACCTGTTTCTCAAATGCACGTTCGAAGATTCCGACGAGGCGGGTGGGGTTGAGGGTGGAGCACCCCTTTCCCTGATTCTGACAATTGTTAGCATCTGTTAGTGCGATGGAGGTCATACTAGGTGTGTGTTTCTATGTGCGGGCTAGTTTCTCCTATATCTGACTTTCATCATTTTCTCAAGTTTTTTTTTTTTCTTTTTCTATCGTTCGCGCGCGTGTCGATGCGATAGTGCCAGCTCTGAATAAAAATTTCGAGTTTTACACAAATATGCTCGAATTAAACAATTAAAAAAAATAAAATAAAAAGTAAAAATTTTACGTAATCAATACTTAAACCAAACTATAAAAAAATTTGAATAAATCTTTTTCTTATTCCTAATATTGGATAAATGCCTCACCTCCGGTTTACAAATCTCTTCAATATCAGAACAAATAACATGAACACAAATATTTCCAATAGAGAATTTGCAGATAGATGACACAAAACAGTCATTTCTCTCGGAATGGCGTGTCACGAAACTTTATCATTATTCCGTGGAAGTATTTTAGAATTTAAAATTACAATTACTGGAGGATTTGTCAATGGGGAAATATGACCTAACATCGTTAATTATATCGTTCTTCGTTTAATATATTACGTATAAAAATACTATTCTAAAATGGTCAACCGGTTGCACGCGTGTTGTACATACGCTAATAAATCTTTGCGGAGTTTTTATTAAGATAAATCGACGGTTTTGATAAATTATACGATAAGTACTTGTATCAATCTTTAATGTAAATGATGCGTGGGATGTCACAGAATTATAGCAGTTCTTTTTATGCATGATTCTTCTGATCGATTTGCGCGAGATTTTTTTTCAGAAACTTTGTCACATCAAGTTTAAATTGATTAAAGAAAGAAGTTGCAGTCGAAAGAAATAGCATTAGTTCCGGGACATCCTTTATGATGTGTGTGTGTGTGTGTGTGTGTGTGTGTGTGTGTGTGTGTGTGTGTATGAATATACTTTTCTTTTTTTTTTATACGTATACGTCAATGAAAGCTATAACCACTAATATAGAATTATGAGAACATCTGAAAGATTCTAGCTGCTTTTGTGTACACCGCGTTTAATCGCCTTTTTCTTTTTTTAAGCTCGCGTTTGAACCTTCATATTGCTATTCGATGATTAAATTTGTCGTTTATAAAATTTGGAAACTCTTAAACTCTCAATTTATGCGTATTAATGCGTATTAATTTCAATTGTTAATGTACGTTTTAACTCTATGCGATAAAATTTATTGCTTAGTTTAACGTGGAGAGATTCTCTAACATATATATCTATATCCTCGCGTCTGTCGATACTTCATAATAAAAAGACTGGGGAAGAGATTTTTTTCACTACTCTTGTACATACCGAGTCTATAGTGTTCCAATTATATAGTATCGGCTGCGCGTTATACCTCTATATCTGTCAGATCTACTATTCCGTCCGACACGACTTGGATCTATACTATTTTCTATTATTTCGCTGGAAGAGTGGCTACGATTTCCCTACGACTAGCGCGATCATAAAAGACAATGCGAGTATCGTAACGATAATAGAATGCAGTCTTTCGAGATTACGTCCGGTTTTAAGTGCCAGGCGTTAATTCTGATGGCTAAAAAAAACGGGCGGAAATGATGATGGTTATGATGACGACGACGATAATTTTGCTCCCTCTAATTTAAGTAACCATTCTCAGCCGAAATGGGAGAATGGGACCCAGTTGGGATAGGTGAGCGGTGGTTGTTGTGGCAGTGCGTGTGTCGCTGCGTGTGTGTGATAGTGTAAGCTACGGCCGGCTCCTGGTGGCATTACTGGAACGGCAATCGCTGACTGGGCTTGTTGATGGGCCTGATGGCCGACTACGTCTACGAACGGGCTCGCCGTGCTCGCGGCCGGGCCTGGTGGCATCGCAGCCGCCGCCGCTGCCGCTGCCGCCGCCGCTGCCGCCGCAGCCTGGGCGGCAGCCGTATGGCTTGTGACATAGTACGGATTGTGTGCAGGCGGCCTCACGCTGTAGGCGACGGTTGTTGTAGTTGTTGTTGTTGTTGTTGTTGTTGTCGTGGACGAGTTGTCGCAGTTGCGTTGCAGTTGCGGTAGTTCGTAGTCAGGTACCAAAGGACACCACAAAACCAAAAGCACAAAGAATTAGCCCAACGGGGTAAAAAAGAGGCGGAACGAAGGAATAGGAGAGAGAGAGACCAATGAGATTTCCAAATGCGAATATTGCGCCCCCATTGGCATAGGAATGAAACGCCGCACCGCGAATGAAAGATGCGCGAAATAATAATAACTTTAAGTTTTTACGGTCCATGCCAACGGGATACTCGGAGGATGAGGGAGAAGACTTTATCCGATTTCGTGGCGGGAAAAAATGCGAAATTACAATTAAGCAATTTAGTATATAAATAAATTTTTTTTATCGTCGATATTTCATAAATATTTTCCAATCGCAGCGACTTTATCGAAAACCCGTCGAAGAGAGAAGCAACGCAAAATTAGCAATCTTATTATACACTTAGCTGCTCGTAAGAAATAACTACGTGAAATGCAAATCATAGACTCAAGAAGTAGAAACGATAAGCAGCAAAAGCAATTGAAAGCTCTGTTCAAGTCGTCGCATCAGTCGTGATCTCGATTACGTCACCGAAACGCGGTAAAAGTATTCTATGCAGCTAATGACGTAGACTTTCATCCATAAATTAATTTCCCCGGCAGCTGACTCTTCACTTGTGTATCTCAAGCGCAAAACATCATCCTCTCCTCGAGGTGTAGAGACTGTGACTCTTCGATATCAAGATGGCGACGAGACGTCATGCGTAAAGTGTATACTACTGCGAGAAGGAAGAGAAGTCTTGAAGTTTCGAGACAAATGATTATCTTGCTCTCTTTTCTCTTCGCGTCAAGAAATAAATCAAAGTTGCGTAGATGCGATGAAAATGAATTTTGACGTATTGTTACCTAGGGAATATGTCGAGAGAGAGAGAGAGAGAGAGAGAGAGAAGAGAGAGAGAGAGAGAGAGAGTA